TAGAATCTGTTTGTGGTAAGTTGTGAATTGGCATGTTTTTTGGAAGTTGGTCTTTTTATATAAATCGTGAGATTGTTATGTTAAGTTGATCTCTTTTTGTAAATTTTAATTTGTCATGTTAAAATTGATTTTATTTTTTTGTAAATTGTGTCTTTTCAATGTTAAAGTTGATCTTTTTGTGTAAATCGGGACTTGACATGTTTACTTCATTTGTTTGTTTAATTGTGAGTTGGCATCCAAATGTCGATCTTTTGTGTAAATTGCGACTTGGCATGTCAAAGCTGTTCTTTTTGTGTAAATTGTGACTTGGCATTTTAAAGAATAAAGGTTGGCATGTTAAGGTTGATCCTTTTGTATAAATTGCGACTTGGCATGTTGAATTACTAAAGCTGTTCTTTATGAGTAAAATATGATTTAGCATGTTTGTTTTATGTAAACCGTGACTTGGTGTATTAGATTTGATGCAAATAGTGACTCGGCGTGTTAAAGCTGATCTTTTTGTGCAAATTGTGACTTGGCATGTTAAAGTTGATCTTTTTGTGGTAGAATTGTGACTACTAAAGCTGTTCTTTATGAGTAAATATGATTTGGCATGTTTGTTTTTAGTGTAACCGTGAATTGGGTGTATTAAATTGATGCAAATAGTGACTTGGCATGTTAAAAGTTGATCTTGTTTTATGTAAATTGTGAACTTGGCATGTTAAAGTTGATCTTTTTGTGTAAATAATTTATTGTGACTTGGCATGTTAAAAGTTGATCTTTTGTGTAAATTGTGACTTGGCTTGTTAAAGTTGATCTTTTTGTGTAAACTGTGACTTGGAATGTTAAAGTTGATCCTTTTATGTAAATTGTGACTTTGCATGTTAAAGCTGATCTTTTTATGTAAATTGTGACTTGGTATGTTTAAGTTGATCCTTTTATGTAAATGGTGACTTGTCATGTTAAAGCTGATCTTTTTGTGTAAATTGTGTCTAGACATGTCGGGACATGATGAAGTTTTTTTTGTTACTTGTCAAATTTTCCCTATATTTTGCATTCTCTTTATATCTGCCACGATTTAATGCTTCTCGTGTAGTCTCAATTAAGTTTGAAAAAGATGTCTGTAGCTGTAAAGTACCTATTGTGATCTTATTTTGACGCAAAAATTTGTAGTATATATTAGGCTTACAGTTAGTTTGTGCTTTTAATAGTTTCGAAAAGAATTCATACTGTTAAGAAATCAACAGTTTTTAACTGATTGATTTTATTTTCACTATAGATAAATAAACGGTGTGTGCATTATAATATAATGTCATTACAAATGGTGGTTCAAACCTGTCGGGGTTCTTTTCATGATTGCGTGGCATCAATATTATCATAATTATAACTAAATAATAATTCCGATGCCAAAACTTTGAAATATTCGATTTTATCTGACAGTTAATTTAAACGATTTGAAAGAGCTTAAACAAATACATTATTCAACTTGATATGCTTTTTGTAGAACTTGACCTTGTTATGATGGTGTCGAAAACAGTATTTAATAATTTACTATTTGATTCTTTAATTAAACTGAAAAGAAATGGATGTTTCTAATACATTGTTCAAACGGTCACAGTAGTGTTATGTAAATTAGTATAATTGAAAGACATGTCTTTCTTGGGAATACGACGAAAGAAGTTGATTGTTGCTCGAATACCAGTGCATTTGTGAGTTTTGACGATCTCAATAGTTTGCATTTTTGCTATAGAAGTCCGCTTTAGGATTTACACTTCATTAAAGCAATAAAAACGCATCATTTTTCACTTTCAAATTGACTTTGGATTTATACTGCCGACTGTAGAAATAGTAAATGATAAATGTAAAGTACAAAATATGGGTTAAAAATGGTTTTAGGGATAAAATTATAGTGATATTTTGCAGAATGTGAGAAATTTTGATTTGTAGTATTTTTCGGGTTTAATCTATATTATGCTGGAATTATGCGATATTTAGAATTCAAGTCTGTTATGAATATACAGGTCAACTAGTATAATTTGTATCTTTATGAATGGTCGAAAACTTAAAACAAACATTGTACATAGCAAGTTGTCTCAGTAATATAGAACATGCATATGTAAAATATTTCCAACAAAACTAGAAAACAATGTCGTCATTCTCTATTATTGTACATTTATACAGTTTGCAGTATACATGTATTTTCAGGTCAATAGACAATGATAAGGTCCTCAGAGGTCAACCAATTGACCCTCGTCGAGGGAAGTTTCAGACGGACACAGCGCGTGCCAAACATGCACAGTTCATGAACCAAGATAAACAAGATGGCCGACCAAAAGCAGCAGATAAAGGGAGACGACTCCAGTCACTTCCTTCGAAGAAAGAATCTCACGGTAAGAATATTTGTACCTGTTTACATCCTTTTCTCAAATGTCCTTTTAGGAATATTCATTTTCAAATGCATATGAGGAAAGATGACCTAGTTGTTAAGGTAGTTGTCTCTCAAACCAGTGATCGTGGACTCAAGATATACTTTGTAACAACCATTGCGCTCTCATTTTGTATCAGCACCTGTCATTTGCAGGAAGCAGACTGGAGGGGTGATAAGAAAGCTCTAAGGTTTCATTACAAATCGAACTAAGGGCTAAAACAATACAACTATATTGAAAGTATTAATTTAATTGTATCATGAAAAAGAGTACAACAAAATCATTTTTATTCCCAGGACAATCATTTTCGTATTTTTCGTGCACAGGTCATTCCACAAATGTATGTATTAAGCGTAGTCCACATAATGTGTATTTTTGACAAAAACCACGGAATTTCATTCACGTGATATAATTTAAATTCACAGTAGCATGTTATTTGAAACAACATCCGTCCCGTTTTAAAAGGAACGAGCTTGCTGTGTCGTAGGAACGAGATAATATCTTGTTCCCGCGACATAGCTATCTCGTTCCCGCGACATAGCTATCTCGTTCCCACATGTAAATTTTGCATTACAATTCTAATTTAGGCCGTGACAATTTTTACAGGAAGGCGGAGAAAAAGAGGTAATTTTAAGACATTTTTAGAATACCTGCATTAGACACTGGCATTTCATTATTTTTTATTGGTATTTGGATTATAACACGGGTGTAGTTTTCTTTCTGTATTAAAGTTAAGTATGTGGAATTTACTACTAAATTCTACTGGTCTGTCACAGTTAAACCCGGCTTACAAATAGATATGTAAAAGTATTTGCTCTAAAGTGAAATGTACCTTAATATAACTGAATGGATAAACAGCCACGATATGAGAATGAAACCTTGAAGTAGGGCTGTACAGACATACGCGCGAGAAGAAAATGCGTACAAATTGCGTACATACATACATATAAATGTGTCACACTTTTTTTTAAAAGAAAAGCCGTTCTGTGCCACCGGCCCCGCCCCCTGACACACACTCACGAATCAAGACGATTAATTCCCATGTCAATCAATAAATAGAAAAACATGGAAATAGCTCTAAATCATCGAATGAAAGTTAAAATTATTTCTAACCGCAGTCAAGGCAACTCAGATATACAAGTAACTGAGGAAGGTCTGTAGGGGGTCTTTTTGTCTGCTTGTTTGTTTATTTGTTTGTTTTGCTATGATATATAGATCCCTGTGGTATTACACAGAATGAATCATTATATTGACTAATGTTTGGATCAAAGGTCACTGATAATAATAAGCTATATTAATCACCATTCAATATAATGTCAATCTTATAATCTTTCAACTCTGATACAAAATTCATGAAGATGTTTCTCTTCTCAGTGTAAGTTTATAAAAAAATTATACGGTGTAAGGGGCCACTATGGTATAAGGTCACAATACGTCATGATGTCCTTAAACATGCAATCTTTTTATATCTGTTTATTTTAGCACCTGTTTAATAAAAGACCATCAATGATGCGCTCGTTATTTTCATGTCCGTTCGCCCGTCCGTCTGTCTGTAACTGGTCAATATCTTTATGTTGCATGGAAAATTTTACAAACAGCTAGACAGATGTACTGTTCATTCAATGTTTTATATACGAAAAACCAGTTTTTCAACTTCGTGAAATCCCAAAATCATCTTCGTAAATTCCCAAAATCATCTTCGTAAATTCACTATTTTAACTTCACGAACTCACGATTTCAACTTCACAAATTTACGAATTCAACTTCACGAATTCAGTTCATGAACTCGTGATTTCAACTTCACGAATTTACGATTTCAACTTCACGAATAAAGTTCGTGAACTCGTGATTTCAACTTCACGAATTTACGATTTCAACTTCACATATTCACGATTTCAAGGGATTCATGAATTTGAAATGTCCCCAACAGTACTTCATAAAACTGTGACAAAGCAGATCCACTAAATAAATGGCAACATGTGCAGTTCAAACTTAGATTTTTTTGGGTATTAACTGCAAAGATAAAACGGTGTTTCTAACTCAAGGACTTTTACTTTGACGCGCATAATGTGATTATAAATTGTTAACATTAGCATGAAGGGGGTGGGGGATTAAGTTGGCAGAACAAAAAATCATATGATTAAAAAAGAAAGTGGTTATAACCAAAGGGAATACGAACAGTTTTCAGCCGCAATTTCTAACGTTTTCATACATATTAGTATCAATGTTAAGAATTCGCGCGGACTTTTAATTCGTGTAACGAATCCCGTATATATGTTAAAATTGCAGTTCAACACTGCTTATAATTACACATGTATTAGGAACTGAATTCATTATATAACTTTGAAAATTTAATAAATTGTTAAAGATTATTTCAGCACGAGTCAAAGACTTTCATTCTTCGCTTTTGTACTTCTGTTTAATAATATGTAATTTACTATACCACGGAGTCTTTCTATTCAGCGCTGACTTTATTATTGTTACCGCATTTCTGACTTTTGACGACCTTAACGTGATATGTATACACTTTAAAATATAGATTAAACTTCTTTAAATTTGTCACAAAAATAACCGTGTTCTTTATCATTATATCTTCTGTGATCGACAAGAAATGTAATTATACTTTAATTTTCTACACAAAGTCAATAATTCATAGGGGGAAATTGTAAGGTATAAATAGCACTTGATAAAATGTAAATAGCGCGTTGACGAGCGCAAATAGTTTTACGAAATACAAAAAATAATTACAAGAATAAAGAAGGGCAAATATTCAATAGAAAATGATTTGAATAAACAGAAAATAATTTCATTCTTTCTTAACGTTAAATCTACCAGGAAGAACTTTAATAGAGACTTTAAGTGACTTATAGACAGGGAAATAAAGAAATGGTTTAAAGATACACGCACGTGTTTGAAATCAAATGTCAGTTAACGTATTCAAAATCACTGCGCCTTACCCTTCTGAAATTCACAAATGGACTTTTCCAGCTTTCTTTTTTTTCGGGGGGGGGGGGGGAGTTTCCATTTATAGAATTTGGGGACATCAAGTCGGTGAGCCAACTGACATACTCTGCAAGCTAGCCGGTCTTTATATTAGTGGCCGAGGATTATACCCTTCTGTTTCAGCAGGTTAAGGGTTAAAGAGTACTAAATTGAATATTAAATCATAGACTTCAAATATAGGTGTATAGACTCACAAATATCTACTTATTCGATTATGCACTTTATATTTGTAAACCTTCGAAGCTTGTTTTGCAAGCATATTTTGTGTAAATACTTATTCAGTTTCCAAATTTCAAAATCTACGGAGGAGGCAATCATCTTGGCATAATATGAAATAGGTCCCATGCCTAAAATGTGTCTTTTGTCTTAGTGAACATTTGTGCCAAGTGGTGAAGTATCTTTGCACATTATGATACAATTTGACTGGATACGGGTTTATTTATATGAAAGTAAAGTTGTCACATTTTTGTATTTAGAGGAGGTTTTGGGCTCTAATTCCTCATTTTAGAATTGTTCTAATTGTTCATTTTCACATAACCAGTCACTGATATCAAAATATTCTTTTTCTATTCCCCCCCCCCCCCCATGGAAATATTTTCAGATTTCAGATAAAAATGCTAGAATACCAGTATATATGAGCCGCGTCATGACAAAACCAACATAATGGGTTTGATCAGGACCCATGCTGTTCGCTATCAGTTTCTCTACTTGTAATAGGGTTTGTAAGCGAATAGCATGGATCCTGATCAGACTGCGCGGATCCCCATTATTTTGGTTTTGTCGTGACGCGGCTCATATAATTTTGATTTACTTTATAATTCAGAAGGCGTCAGTGTAAAAATTTAGTATTCTAAGTACGGTTTATTCATTTATCAACATTTTAAAACTATTAAGATAGTAAAAGGGGGCTTTACATTAATAGGTCTAGTCTTCGTTATATCACCAACTCTGTTATTAGATTTCGTTACTAATATGAAATTCAATTAAGTAAATGAGCCCAAAGTAAAAGAACTGGACCAAAGGAGCTATTTAGTTATATTATTCTAGTGATAATAGCTTTTGTTTAACTTCCTTCTTTATTTTTATGGGGTTGATTTGGTTAAATGTAAAATATGATGAAAAAAGACTTTTTGTAGATTTATATACAAAAGAATGTGATATAGCCGTATAGGCTTTTTTTCCACTGGTCACTCATTTTTGTAGTTTTCGTCGGTTGACCTTTTAGGTCGAAAGAAATTTCATTTCGGCCGCTGTAAGCATTTCTTTATTTGCATTTTACATTTTTTCAAACATAGACAAGAATTTAAGAAACAAAAAAAAATGCCTTTTGAATCCAAGTCACGAAATCTCAAACCCAAGAAATTAAGTGAATTCACAGTATTATCTCAAACTCTAGCATGTCAAGTTTATATATGTACTCGTAGACAGTCCCATTGATAGTTTAAAACAAGATTAATGATTGAATTTTTTTGCAATGTTGCAGTTTCAGAAACTGAAGAGCGTCCAGTGATCTCAGCTCCATCTAAAGACCAGGGTAAAATGGACGGACCAATGCCGAAAATAAACACTCTGGTACCAAATGATAGTAAAGCAAGCGCATCAAACCCTTCCCAGCCTGGTACCAGTAAATCTAATACGACATCCGTTTCGCCGGCAAAATCAACGGAACCAACAGTGTCGCCAACAAAACCTAAGGACCCTATTATCAGTCCGAGAAAAGTAGTGCCAGAAAATAAACCGGCGGAATCTGCGGTGAAGACAGACATTGAAAAACAGAAGGATACTCGTCGTTCGGAGACAAAAGTAACAGGTAATGAATTTAGATACTTCTGTTTTGTTATAAGATTATTAAGTAATCTTACAGAATGACGACTTGAAAGGCAGATCCTTTGCTGGGATAACAGCCCTTTTCAAGTCTACTTCCTTCTCATATTGTCTCAGGTTATTGTACATTAAGGTTCTCATTGGCCGCCGTACAGTGGCATACTTTTTGCTCAAACTATTACTCCGTGGAAATTGAACGACGGTAAATTATCACCAATTTATTCTTCAAAATTAACTATTTAAGGGCATGACTGGTGACATGTCCAGAATTCGTACTCGACAACGAAAGTTGCTTTTTGTACCATATAGGGCGAATGGTACTTCATTAAGCATATACTTCATCTTCATACGTTTTAAACCTCACACTTTTTAATGAGTACCTCCGTGACCGAGTAGTAAAGTGAATTAGTCCGTAATAGAGTATCTATAATAACATTTGAGCCGCGTCACAACAAAACCAAAATAATGGGTTTGCGACTAGCGCAGTCTGATCCGGATCCATGCTGTTCGCTATCAGTTTCTCTACTTGTTATAGGGTTGGTAAGCGAACAGCATGGATCCTGATTAGACTGCGTGGATGCGCAGGCTGGTCTGGATCCATGCTGGTCGCAAACGCACTATGTTGGTTTTGTCGTGACGCGGCTCATATATATATAGTTATTTTGATATGAGCACCATACCTTAAACCACAACGAAATAATTATTTATAGATGTTGATGGTAAGTTGTGATCCGATATGACATAAATATCTTTATATAGCAGTTGATAAATTTGTTCTAGAACAAACTTTTATTATTCGTCATATAAATGTTCAAATTTAACCACTTAAAACATATCTTTATTTCTTTTTCAAGATTTCAAAAGAATATCCAAATAATATTTTTCTATTGTTCTATATAAATATGTGTCGTTCTTATGAAAAATGTGTGCATGCATTGTAGACCAATCCACTTTAAGATCGCAGATTTCAAATCATTTGTCCCTCACCACTGTGGTTTCGAAATCCGATAGGGACTTTTGATATTTTCATGTGAGGAAGTTATCTGTCTAGCTCACAGATAGTGGATGGTTTTACTCAGGTTCCCGCTCATGCCTGAAATAATGCACGGGAAAACCTGAAGGGTACCTGAGGTCATCCTCCGCCAGTGAAGCATGGAAAGTCACCGTATGACTTTAACAGTGTCGATGTGACTTGAAGTCAGTCAGTCAGTCCGCCAGTCAGTCCGTCAGTCTGTCAGTCCGCCAGTCAGTCCGACAGTCTGTCCGTCAGTCTGTCAGTCCGCCAGTCAGTCCGTCAGTCTGTCAGTTCGCCAGTCAGTCCGCCAGTCAGTCCGTCAGTCTGTCAGTCCGCCAGTCAGTCCGCCAGTCAGTCCGTCCGTCAGTCAGTCCGCTAGTCCGTCCGTCATTCAGTCCGCCAGTCCGTCCGTCAGTCAGCCAAGTCAGTCAGCCAAGTCAGTCAGTCAGTCAATCAATCAATCAATACATCAATCAATCAATACATCAATCGATCAATACATCAATCAATACATCGATCAATCAATACATCAATCAATCAATACATCAATCAATCAATCAATACATCAATCATTTAAACAAACAACAAACAAACACAAACAGATACTTTCTAATGGAATGTCCCTCTCTTTTCATTGAGCGTCTGTTCATGTTTTTCTTAACTGACAGTCAGTGGAGCCGAACTGGGGTAATTGCAAAAACACACTTTATCTCTATAATTGATATTTTAAAAGTGTCCTTCCTTTTTATTCTTCAATGTATATTCATTATTTAGTAATTTTAATTATCCAGTAAGTGTAATTTTCTTTTATACTGTAACCATGGTCTTCCGATGATAATAGTTCAATAATAGTATGTAAAACGTATTTTTGTCACATAGCGGAGCTCAAATTTCTATAAATACAACGCAGTTCTCTAAGTTTAGTTTTAACTTGTTTTCGAATATTTTAGCAAACAATTTTTTGTTTATTTACATTATATTGTGTGTTATAGATTAATAGCAGTGTAAATGATAATCAGTTTACAGATACCTCTAAATTATTTTAAATTTAAATGAACTAATTTGATCCTAGTTGACAAAGGAGTTATTTTAAGATGAACGATTAACTTTACTTTGGTTTTATAGATGTCGCGCGTTATAAATAATAAACACGTCGTTCGCATGACTGATTCGGATGTTTGATATCATTTTGAAATATTAAAAAATACTAGAGTAAACAATTTTATTATCATTTGTGCACATTATTCGAAGCTCTATCGAAATAACAGTAACTGTTGTGAACTGGAATCAAAATCATTTTGTACACATTTGGATATAACATGATTTTTTCGGCTTTTCTCAAATACAACATTCCCGTAAATTAGTTTGTTTGTTTATTTACTTAATTAATTGAGGATAACGAAACTTGGATAAAAAGATGTTGTAGAAGAAATATATAGTGGCTTAACAGTGAATAGTGATTATTCCTTATTTGTAAAACGTATATGAAATTTTTAATTTGACTACTTGATTAAAAGAATTATTTCCACAGTGTATCAGCGCCACTTTTTAATTCGGACGCTTTAAAACGCTAATCAAGTTGTTAGTTTACTAAGTGAAAAAAAAACTTGATAAAAATACTATTTTACTAATTAAAATGGATAAAAGTAACAAGCACGGCACCGATTCCGGTAGAAGGGTTGGATATAACGTAAATAAAGTCAGATTTAGAAAACCGTTCGGAGGATTACACCATACGATGAGTGCTGGCCGGATGTCCAATATGTCGATGGAAATATTTAATGATGTTATTAAAATTGAAGAAGAGATTGAATCAATGAGTGTTCGATTTTCAGGTGTTGCCGGACGTACGACCAAAGATGAAGATACTGTCAGGTCAGTAATGGGTTTGCGACCAGCATGGATCAAGACCAGCCTGCGCATCCGCGCAGTCTGACCAGGATCCATGCTGTTCGCTTTCAGTTTCTCTACTTGTAATAGGGTTGGTAAGCGAACAGCATGGATCCTTATCAGACTGTGCAGATGCACAGGCTAGTCTGGATCAATGCTGGTCGCAAACGCACTATGTTGGTTTTGTCGTGACGCGGCTCATATATTAAAGCCAGATCTTCACATCTTTAAAGCAGCACGCCAGATTCATGCTTAATTTCATGAAAAATTTTGAAAATGAATTTTATGATAAAATATTGTGAAAGAAACAAAGAAAATATAATTTACACATTATAAGCAGCACTTACAATCCACTTAAACTACAAAAAAGAAGTCCAAATATGTAAAAATACACCTAACTGCGTTAGTAACGCAGTAGAAATATGGTACACAATTACTGCAAAATCAGTTACTAGTATTAATCGAACATAACATGTAAATTATAATTTGAATCTTGAATAGCTTTACTTTTCTTAAAAGTTATTTTTTCATGAAGTTTGATTTTCTTGAAATATTTTCGTTCGTCTGGAGGCATGCCACTAAAAGTATTTCTTCAACTGAACTGAAATAAATGCTGTAAATGTTATGCATTTATCAATTATTGCCGGTATATTCTGAAGTCCATGTAAAATGAATTTTTTTATTAAGCTTATATATAGTACAACAGTAGAGCAACGCCATTTAGATAATAAAGATTTCGGTTGCTTCTGAGAGAGGTCTTGCTCTACAGTGTTTATTAATTTATTGTGATGTCTTAAAATAAAACTGTATTTATGAAAGAATATTTTGCTCTATAGAAGGTCACGCTGTAGAGAGTGTACTGTATGTATGAAGGGCATATCCTTTTACATGTAGACAACGAAAAATATGAGCATCTTTTCATGCATTTAAATATTTTCAACTTAACTTTATGTAAAGGGAAACAACTCATATTATTATTTAAATCGTTATCCAGTAGGAATTATCGGCGACACGATTGTATAATATGGAACGTGTCTACAATTTTAAAGAGATCTTGATCATTGAATTAAAAATTATTTATAAAAAATTGATACTTTAGCATATATGCTGGAAATATCGGTTCTTCATAATATATAAAAATATAGCCACAACTTTCCGAGAAGGTTCACCAATACAATGAATTTATTTTATTTTATTTCCGAGGCAGTCTTATCATATTCACAATTTCATAAAGATTCATTATTTTGCAGGAGTACTAAGAACACAGTACCAACAAGTCAGAATCGTTCTGAAGGAAGTCCAACAAAATTAAAGTAAGATTTCACACTTCTATTTTCGTCAAACAATTTTGTAGAGCTAGAAATGATGAGTAAAATTAATGAAAGTCGTCCGATGCTGTACCGCCATAATATCACGGATGGAATATGTTACAATAGTAACACAAATGACCGAATATGTCCCACAAAATCACGAAATTATCAACAATTTGTTATGACGAAATCGATCGACAAATTGTAATCACGCAATTGGCCGATAAATTTTAATCACGAAATCGATCGGAAAATGGAAAGCAAAATATCGATCATTCATAACTATTCATAATTCCGGAATAAGTCAATAACATTTACCACACTTGACCGACTACTATATAATCCCATATAATGTATTTATTATTCGTGAATCAGTCTTAACGTTAATATTCCTTCTTTTTCCGTACATTTTTATATCCTTCTTTGTGACACATTATTCGTTTCTGTGACAACAGCACATGTATCACAGTAGTTAACGTGACATTGATGGTCGAGTATTTCAGACACGTGTTACCGTGACAATCGGTCCGTGACATATTTACTCGTAACTCTGACAAGTGATTAACTTTGAGTAGCTTTTTATTTTAGAGTAATGAGTGATGCAAATACTTAATTCATTATTTTTAATTATACTTGGTAGATTCATTAATTGTTTCATTTATCAAAAAATTCCATTGTTTGGGGAAACATATTGTGATTTTTTTTGTGACTTCCACACAATTATTGTCATGCGAGTTTATTGTATTTTTTTGTCTATTTGGTCAATAAGGTAACCTTTTTACACTTGTTTTGTATGTTTTCATTTCGAACCAAAAGTTACCATAACATTCCGAATATTTTAAATAAAGTCTTTCTTTTTTCGGAAATTAAAAAATATTGATATCGATTTACGACATAGGATTTGTTAAGGCTATTCGTGCCAGTGTTTATGTATATTGATAAATGATTTATAAAAGAGCATATAAGTGTCACTGAAATAAGGCACATACTCAATATAAACTCGAAAGCTTATATAAATGATGCTTTTTTTCAGAGACGGAAAACATAAACTACCGGCGGATGATCATGGACCGGCATACCCGAGTCCGAAGCCGGCCAATGACGCAAAGCCATCAGTCACCGGAGCGTCCAAGAATGATCCGAATTTTAATTACTATGCATCAGAGACTCAAAAAGCCTTGGGCGGTCAGAACGTTGTTGAAAATTCTCCTCGAGTTCCGTCAGAAAAAAGTTCCAAAACTGATAAATCTTGGGTTACAATTAAAACAAAAAACACCCAAAGTAGTCAGCCTTCAGGCCCCGTAAAGTCAAGAACCACTGTCGAGTTCTCTCAAAATTCCTCAATAGCAAATAGTGACAAAAAGCGTCGTGAAGTAACTATAGTTGATCCAAAATATGTCCGTAGAATGAATCAAAGTGGTGATGATGACGGCGAACCGTTCATGCATGAATATGAATTTAGTCATAACCAAATTAAGCACCATAAAGACTTTAAAGATATGACGGACGAAGAAAAGATAAATTATTTTCAGGAAACATTACACATGAAACCTGACCAAATTAGAGAACTGACCTTTCATCCAAAGGTCACAGAGCAAAAGATGATTCACCATGCATATACAGGCATTGACACCGTAAACTGGCAATCTGGGCGATTAAAGTCCGGAAAACGTCCAAAATCAAAGAGATACAGTGTGTATAAAAAAGTAACTACCGTTCCGCCGGCGAAAAGAAAAAGTTTTATGTTAAGTCAGTTGCAAGGAAAGGTTTATAGACATATCAATAAAGTGTATGACAGTTCGCCACGAGACGCTCGTGAAAAACAATTCTACGAAAAACTTGCCCAAATTCAAATTGAAGATATGCAGCATCGTTACGAGATGCTCGCGGAACGTGAACGAAGACAGTTAGAAGCCAAATATAGACAAAGAGAGCAGCTGAGACGCGTAAGACGTAAATTCGAGGACGATGCATGGAGACGGTTTATGACGCAATACGTGACGTCAAAAGTTGTTGAAGCAGAACTTAGTAATCGAGAGGAATATGGGTTACCAAATCACCTTCATGATGGCCGTAGTAGGAACCCTTACGCTGTTCAAAAAGCGAATTCAAAGAAAGCCCGATTTGTTGTTACCCCAAGACGCATGCAAAAAACTAATCAAAAGAAATACGCAACCATATTTAAATACAACGCTGGTCCAGTTCCAAAAGTAGGGGGTAAACCTTTGAAGTTTGAAGGTTTCGACACTGTGTATCTAGACACCGAAGATGAGAACGGTAAATATTATCGTATTGTCCTTTATTCATTTTGAATATCAGTTCTCGCTTTTAAATATGAAAAAGAGTCAAGTTATTCAATGAACTTTTTAAAACCCTTTTTTTTGGCAATTTAACCTGTAACCTGCTGCAAGCGGAAGTGATTACACTTTGCCAACAGTAAATGACCAAGCCAGTCTGCGCTTTATTGCAGTCACATAAAGCTGTATTGAACCGGACATTTTTTAAATTAGGGTTCAACAAGGCGCTATACAAAAAACAACGCATGCTATTGTTATTATTATCATTATGTATTAAAAGAAATTTATATTGTATGGTATTTTATTACGTAATATAACAAACACACGTCATTTTGTTTTTTCTAGAAAAGTAAGCAATATATATTTATTATATAATTATTTAATTATATATATATATCAGATATGGAGGTTACTACGCCAGGTTTGTTTGACTAATATTTTCATATTTTCTTTCTTATTGTGCCTCTCTTTGGACTTTGGTTATGTGAGTAGAGCTATTAACACTTAGCATGTCGATATACCTTAGCGACCAGTGCAGACCAAGATCTGATTCAACCGGCATGTCCGGAGCGTTTGATCATAGTCTGTACTCTTCGTTTTTCAATTATTGTTTGAGCCGCGTCACGACAAAACCAACGTAATGGGTTTGCGACCAGCATGGACCCAGACCAGCCTGCGCATTCGCGCAGTCTGATCAGGATCCATGCTGTTCGCTTACAAACCCTATAGCAAGTAGTGAAACTGATAGCGAACAGCATGGATCCTGATCAGACTGCGCGGATGCGCAGGCTGGTCTGGATCCATGCTGGTCGCAAACCCATTTCGTTGGTTTTGTCGTGACGCGGCTCATTTACATTTTTGTATTTTGAAAATTTCCATCAGAATCAAAAATAGTTTCTATCGAAATGGAAAGATGGCCTTCTTAATAAGATATTTTGTGTGGTACAGGATAACATAGAAATATCAAGATAAAATGCCTAAATACCACGTACTATTGAGGCAAACGTTTTTATATGTTACTTTGCTTTTATGTCGATGTGATGCTATTAAAGAAGATTTTGTGACTTGTATTAATACATTAACAATAATAGCCATGAAATAAGAACAAGAAGACTCTTATGTTATCGAGATTTACCTTAACTCTAGCTAGATCTTGGTGGAGCTTACATTTGAACTAACCGCTAATTTTTACTGGCCTGTTTGAATAATTTAACTGACGTTTTTATGGAATTTTAGGTATCGGTTAGTATTTCTTACTAAGCATTAATACATACAAAATAAAGTTGGTCAACTTAGTTGGTCGACCAATTTAATGTAGTTTATGCTTACTAATTAAACACTAAGCAATTAGTGTTTTTAATAAAACTGTCGATTTACTAGACTGATTTAATTAGCCAATTTACCAAAGTAAATCTATTAGAATTAATTTGGAATACTGCAAGTATATTGATTAGAAAATAATTTCGTGCGCACCACTTAATTAATTTGTGTGCACGACTAAGTTACTCGTGGCCACGACATAGTATCTCGTGCGCACGAGATATATAAAACGCACACTTGTCACCTAAGTGCCACCATAAGATTACAATAGAAAATATTTCCATATTCATCCTTATTAAACTTGATCGAGTGAAAAACATAATTAATTGACCTATTACAGATCTCAAAGTGGTAAACGACATTAAGTGAAATTATATATATGTTCATAATTATGCAAATTTTCAAACATCGAAGAATTTGTAAAATATGTACTGCAAATATTTGTGCATATTATATGTAATCATTAAAACATATGCATTCATTTCTTATTGTAAAATTTGTCTTAAACTTTATAGAAAATAATTTTTTTATTACTTCCCTTTATTTACATGAAATTACATTCGGCAATATCTTTATAAATAATGATTTTTGGAACCTACAATATTGATCAATCTCAATTTGAGCATCATATTTATGATTTAAAACCATAAAAATTGTGTTGCAGGATCTTTAAGCATCGTGTAGATACATTTTTTTAAAGTTCAAAATCTATCAAGTTGAGTTGATTGTTTTATCTTTCTGCTTTGTGTTTTTGGAGTTTTACTAAACTTGAGATTATTAGTATGTATTGATTTATAAATGACTCGAGAGTAATATTAATTCTAGTATTAGCTGACCAATATTTAAACGATAAACTTGATGGCGTACTAACATTTTACTTCTTTATAGTTAATTAGGGAGCAATTTCTAAATTGCTTCAGGGTAAAATAATTGTCACACAGTTTAGTGGAGATTACAATTCAAGGGAGAGAACTTCTGACAAAGTTTAAAAAAATAGTTATTCTTTCTTATTATCTACCTTTAATACTTCTTTCCCCTTTTTATCCTATGAATCGTTTTAGCTCACATGGGAGGGGAACTTTTTTGTGATGAATGATGCGTCGTTTGTCGTTTTTGTCATTGGGGGAATGGTTTATTTCCTTCATCTCCCAAATCACAACTTGACAAGGGGAATTTTGACCAATCTTGAGAATGCCACATGTCCCTCAAAAAATGTTTTACACATGCTTCTTGTGTGATACCTATGTCAGTCACAGGAGATAAAATAATTTGGAAAAATGAATTAAATCTTTATTGTAAAACAAAAAAATCTGCTCCTAATATACAAATAAAAATGCACACACTTTCTTGTGTCGGGTATGCCTTGTAGTTCATAATGAATCAACATAAATCTATAAGCATTTAAGCTATTATAAAATTTGACCGTAGTCACTATTAGTTGATAAACCATAGGCGAAAACGTAGGCGACAACAAGAGTAACAGCAATGCTACTCTGAGTCAAAGTCAAAATATGTTTCGCCCGGGGTTATGTTTGTTAAAATATATGTAAATCTTCTCCCCAGAAAATATACACTGCCTAAAGCTAGGATATTTAATTAAATTTTGTTGTCGTCAACCTTTTTAGAGTCACATAGTTAAATAAATACTCATCTTGTATGCATCTTTTTGGCATATTTTTTTAACAATGTATCTCAGACGGGCGACCAAGGGCCATGATTGCCTTCTAGTAAGAAAAGTAGCCGGTAACAGTACCATAGATTGGTGGCACTATACAAGCTCTTCATATTTCTTTTTAATAATATTTTATTTTTAATTCTAGATCAAGCGCATTTTTTATATACATACATAAATATTTTAGGGGTAAAAACTAGTAAAATATACATTTAGTACATTTGTACAATAAAATATAAACTAGATATTTCATGTATTGATATAGTAAAATTTTGACTCTAGATATATATAATATATATATATTTTTACATCAGGATATAAATAAGTTATATAAAAGTACTGGTCAATTTCAAATGTTTAACGACACTTTTGTAGTCATTTTCTACTTCAAATCATAATTAGTTCTTTTGGATATACCATACAGATTTATTTCAACATTTTCAGGTAAGCCAACTAAGAAGAGACAAAATGTACAGGATCTTATGGAAGAGGCAAGACGCATTCTAGACCAATCAGGTAAATCGTCAATACACAACACCGTGTCTTTATGTTCTTATTCAAATGCGACTGATATAATTATATTCATTAAAAGAGAAATTAAATTGGCATATCCCCGGCTTGAAAGATTGAAGTTTAAAGTTTTATATTTCAGGAACTCATAAAGGTCAAAATATTCTTATGATTAGAAAATATACATGTGAAAGAAATACTTATTATAAAACACACGGATCTTATGTTTTGACATTTGTATTCATAAAGAGTTTTTCAACTATAGAAGTGTTCGTGCAATTATGTCGATCTTCATCATATTTTATTTTGTTTTGATTCCTAACTAAAGTAGATTTTACGGTTTACTCCTAGATGATGACACGGACTTGGAAGTCACGCCAAGAAAATCGCAGCCACCGGCACGACGGAGCCGAGCTGAAAGACCTCAACACAGTCGTTCACGAAACGGCAGACATATTCGAGATGACAAATCGTACAAATCATCCCAGTCAAAAACTTCACAGGCTTCCCAGTCAACACGCTCCAAACCAATTCCACGAACTATGAAAGATCTTTTAAACCAAAGACGAAAATCAGAGGCTCCGGTTAATAGATATAAAGCTAGTAACTTCACTTCAATGAAAGCTGATTTATTGAAAGACAGTAACTTTTTAAATAAGAACGATAAATTAAAGAAACCACAATCTGAATTACAAAATGTGGAAGTTTCAAGCAAACCTGAGCCAAACGAGAAACAATCAAGAGACAAAAGTCCAGAGAAGGAACCTACAATAGTTAAAACCGCAGATAAGCCATTTACGACAGATGCTAGTCCAGTCAAAACGACAACAACTGTAACAACAACTCAGGTTTCTACAGTAAAAACAGAAACCACGACAGCGGACACAAACGATACAGATGAAAAGAAAGAATGGAAAATTAAAGAAGGAAATGTGTTCCTGGACAATATGGAAACTCAAATGGCAATTGAAACCGCTCGTGACCACATAGATAATAGGAATTCACAAAAAGATGCACCTAGTCGCCTCTCTAATCACACGGATATAAAATTACAAAATGGACATTCTCCCAAGAGCCTTGAAAAACCTGCAAGTCGGACACCATCGCGCATTAGTTTTAGAAATAAACAGGAACAGTCTACGTCGGATGAACAACGTCGTCCGCCAAGGGCCCACTCGAGGTCAAGTTTATTTACAACTGAGATTAAACCAATAAAGCCCCCCTCACGAGCTCCCTCAAGAGTAAGTCTTAATCCAATAAATGAAATCAAATCACAGGGAAAGAAAGAAAATGATGACAAAACCAATGTTCGCACTGAGACGGTTTTTGTAACTGAAACTGTTACGGAAACAGTAAATGGCAGTTCTTCAAATACTCAACAAAAAACTTCTATTCCAGGCTCAAAACAAAATGTTAGGCTTGACAGTCGTCGTAATTCTATTTCTTCTTTACAGCCACAGCCATTGAATGGATTCAAAGAAGGAAGTCGTCGAAATTCTATTATTTCCACTCAGAATCAAAAACATGTCAGCGGAAGAACAAGTGTCGTTGGCATAGCAACAAATAATGGGCGCGTTTCGCCTGCAATTGAAAAGCAACGCCAACCTGCAAACAACATTGAGAAAGATGTAAATAGACAAAACAAAACCACAGATAGGAAAACAAGTATTTCTGAAAAGACATCTGTATTGAATGGTGATGTGACTGTTAAAACAGTAACTAACAATATTCAAAGGAATGACAATGTGTCTACAGATAGTAAGCAAACAAATAATGACAATTCTTCTCCTAAAAAAGTTGTTACTAAATCAGTGAATGTATCAGAAGATGTCACTGAGAACGTTATTGATACACACAAAACTTCAGTATCTAAAAATAAACAAGTGCACAAGCCTGATATAACTGACAGAAGACGTAGTGACGATAATTCAAATCGTTCAAATAACGACGCACGATCACGAAATAAACCATCTTCTAATCATTCACCGGAAAGTAAAGATGTAAAAGAAAATCCAAAACACGGGGGAGAAATACACAAGAAAGAGTCATCCAAGACGAAAAAGACACCAGCTGGTAGGCGGTCGCGATCACGGACACCTCAACGTAAACAAAGTATGAATGGAACAGGTGATATCAAAATGAATATGGATGAATATGAAAAGATGGGACATGACGGAAAAAGACCATCACGCCGCTCTGGATCAAAGGAAAGAGGCTCGAATGGCAGGAGGCGAAGGTCAACATCCGGTGGTCGAAAAGCATCTAAAGGCGGTAGAAAAAGATCAAGATCCAGTGAGAGAAAGAAATCAAAGTCTAGATTTCCTGATATAAATAAACAGGATGGTAAATGGAAAATCACTGCTAGATCCCCGTCTCGAACTGTGGAAAGATCTGAAGATGTGAATGAGTACACTACAGAAAGAGTGATCACTCCTAAACCCGCAGGTGCCAACCAATGGAAAGACTTGGTTGAGAAATATCTCAGGCAACCAAGCCCGAAAGTAGGGAGAACTGAGGACCGATCATTACTTGATTCTAACATTACTGATGACGATGATGATGACGATGATGAAATGGACATTTTTAAACGTGCCCAGATGAAGTACCAGCTCTCTGTCGGTAAAACGGATGACGAAGATTCGGACATGGACTAAAAAGCAATTTATGTTTATGAATTTGGCATTAAATAAGAGATGAACGAAATTTAGAGTTTTGAAGAACTGATATTTGATAAGATTTCATAACCTATTTCTATGAAAAGTAAAATGATGCTAGTGAAACCGATCTGTCTTAAAGGAAAAGATAATTAAAGCTCTATTTAAATAAAACCTATATGTCAATTGACCAGATCCTCGTATTTGTTTAATGAAACCATCACATTATAGGCCTAATCGAAATTGCATTGCAGCATTTGAGACACATGTGCTAAATTGTTCAAAGTCGTTTAAGGAATTTGTTGTAACTTCTTCCAGTTGCAGTGAAACTTCTCGCGAATTTTCTTTTATGAATTAAGGAGAAAAATGTTATAACTATTTTCAGTCTTTGAAGCTGAAAAAAGGATGTTATATATCATCATAATGTGCTTTGATTTTATACTTTCGTTATTTATCAACATGTATATGTCATGTACATAATGACTGACACTGCCTGTGATATTTCGTTGTATTGGAATATATACTTCCGTACTTTGCAGTTTATTTACATATGTTGACTTTTGTATATATATGGAATTATATGGAATTTATATATCACTTCGTATGTACATGTGATTAAATCCGAAGTGCTAACACAACAACTATTAATTGATCATATAAGACATTCACTGTTCCTTTTTCGTTTTGATGTATGTATATAAACATAATTCTGTGAACCCGCTTATGTTACTAGAAAAAATATATTATTTATTTATGTAGTTTTGTTAGATATATTTATTTACAATTGTTTGTCTCGATAAAATGTTATGTCTCATGAAATGTATAGAAATTAGAAATTTATTTTCAATGACAGAGTTATTAAGATACAAATATTTTTGATTATATGGTAAAATGAAAGTATGTAAAAAGAATTGTTGTGGTTTTTACTTTACCTATCATTCATCTGCAAGTCAACCATATAACAAATACCTTGTTTTGAACTTATTCATTATCTCGAATCAACGATCGCCTGTTTTACAACAGTGTGTGATATTGAATGAATGAAGAATGTTTATAAATGAGACCTAAAACCACCATGTAAATTCATTTCCGTGATGACGATAAGGATAATGATGGTAAATGTGAAGATTATGATGTAAGCAATGAAAATGGTGTGATGGTTTTGATGATGATGATGATAATGATGTTGATTATGATGATGATGATGGAAATGATGATGATGGTGATGATGATGATGGTAATGATGATGATGATGATGATGATGATTATGATGATGATGATGGTAATGATGATGATGATGATGGCGATGATGGTAATGATGATGATGGTAATGATGATGATGATAATGGTAATGATGATAATGATGATGATGATGGTAATGATGATGATGATGGTAATGATGATGATGATGATAATGATGATGATGATGATGGTAATGATGATGATGATGGTAATGATGATGATGATGATGGTAATGATGATGATGATGGTAATGATGATGATGATGATGATGATGATGATGATGATATTAATAAGTGAATAAGTGACTACGCTTCCAATGCAGGAATAATAAAAAAAGAAAAATTCGTTTAAAATACATAACATTGTTTTAAGGGCGAGGTTATATTTTGATGATATATTAAGGCGTCCAAGAAGTTACTCCTTTTACTCATTAAATATCCAATGTCCTAGAATTGATTGGAATCCACAACAATGAGGGCAAAACTTTAAATATATTTTCCATGAAAATCCTCAGTTCATATAAAAATCGTTTTCTTTACAAATTGATCTTATTATAAAAAATTACCAAACACATTTTTTATCGGGACGTTAAAACGGCGGCACGATTTGCCGGACGCCACCACATACTAAAACCGATGCGTTTTTGTGATTTTTATAGCATATTTTAAGCTATGGTATGTACGGTGGCACAGAGGCGACTTTGAACGTCAAGAAAAACAACTCTGCAGTCATTAAACGGACTCCACTAGCTTTGATTGTCGCCCTTTTTAAACGTTTTTTTTAAATGATAAATGTAAATATTGGTAGGGTTTCTTCAGCATAATATATGACACCAGATTTACTTACTTTAACAAATGAAATACATGAAGATTTTAATGCGTATGATTCCCATCAACTTCGAGAGGGACTCGACCTCTTATGTAGAAAAAAAATATGGTGAAATTCGCGTTTATTTATTAATCAACGAAGAAACAAAATGTTTATCAACTGAAATTAAGTTCTTAAACAAATAACACAAAAACACGGGGATAATCAAATGTAAGAATTTTGCACTAATTGTGCTTATGAGATGCAAAATCAAGCAAATCTATAGCCCAAATGAGCAACACTATCCGTAAAACAAACTAGACTAAGTGTATTTTCTGTAAATCATATTCACACCGTATAACCGGCACCAGTGACGACAGATTCCTGCAGTGATGACTTGACCCTGATGGGACTTGAACCCACACAGGCAGCAAACAAGGATTTCCAACCCGACATGTTTGATAAAAAGATATTGTGTAAATATGACAATAGTAAACAACACCGCACCTTAAATCTGCTGGAACCGAAATAAATTACCCAGTATAGAGCCAATCAGGCTTAACATCCGTGCAGTCTGGTCAGGTGACTTACTTTTCTAAATTTCTACCTTAATATTTTCAGATTGATAATGAAAAGTTCCAAAAATGGAAGCTTGAAAAGTCCATTTTAACAAGTTCAGCAGAATGATTTAGGATCGATTGCAAACATGTACAGTCTTACCAGTATCAACACTTTTGGCTGCCCAATTTCAACCTATTGTTTTCTTTCAGTCTATCATATTACCTTTTCTGTTACAAGTATACAACAAGTAATGTAACCAGATCATCAGGGATGATGATAATACCAGGCACTGCTCGAAGTCTTGAACATAGTGAAACTATTGTAAATATTTCTACCTTTGTCTTTTAGACAGAACTGATTTTGAGAATTTGGCTCCCTATAAGATGCTAGAGGCATTTTGTAGTACAAGTGATATCTTGGTGTATTTTACCTTTTTTAAGGGTTTGCTGTTTCCGTTTTAAAGGTGGATCCAAAATTGAAAAATTTGGGATTTTTTGGGCCCTTTAAAAAAGGGCCATTTAAAAGGGACCATTTAAAACCCCGCAAATTTCTTTTAAACAAAATGGGGGAAATATATTAAAAAAACTTTTTAAAGAAAAAAAAGCTGGGAATTTGTCAAAAAAGCATTTTTTAGCATTTTAGGTAAAAAAAAAATTAAAAACCAATGTAATAGAAATGTAAAAAAGTAAAAATTAAAGAAAATTTACTAAAAAATTTCTTTTTAAATTTTTTTATTTTTATCGGGCCACTCTATGCAAGCTTTTAGGGTGGCTATTTAAAAAATAGATTCTTACTTTATTTTTGCACGGGGGCGTGCGAAAAATGTGTGAGGGGGGTTGGGGGAAAACCGTGCAAAAAATAAAAAAATTTTAAAGTCACTCTCTCTGAGTACTCTTGGGTTTGGAGTTCGTTTTTCTGTTATCGGTCGTCGTCTTCGTTCTTCTGTTATCGGTTCTCATCGCATTTCTCTGCTGTTAGTTCTTCTGTTATTCGTCGTGATCTTCGTTCTTCTGTAATCGGTCCTGTTCTGAGTTCTTTTGTTGTCAGTAATTCTGTTATTGGTCGTGACTTTCATTCTTCTGTTATCGGTCCTCGTCGCAGATCTCTTGTTGTTAGTTCTTCTGTGATCGGTCCTGGTCTGAGTTATTTTGTTGCCAGATGTTCTTCTTCTGTTATCGGTCCTCGTCGCAGATCTCATGTTGTTAGTTCTTCTGTAATCGGTCCTGGTCTGAGTTATTTTGTTGCCAGATGTTCTTCTTCTGTTATCGGTCCTCGTCGCAGATCTCATGTTGTTAGTTCTTCTGTAATCGGTCCTGGTCTGAGTTATTTTGTTGCCAGATGTTCTGTTATCTGTTCTCGTCTCTATTCTTCTGTAATCAGTCCTGGTCTCCGTTTTCTTGTTGTCAGTGCTTCTGTCTATGTTATTCTGTTGTAGGTCCTCGTCTGTATTTTTCTGTTATCATTCCTCTTCTCCGTTGTCTTGTTGTCAGGTTCACTGTTAATGGTCCCTGTCTCTGTTGGCTTATTGTCAGTTCTTCTGTTATCGGTCCATGTCTCTGTTATTCTGCTATCAGTCCTCGTCTCTGTTCGCTTGTTGTTAGTACTTCTGTTATCGGTGCCTGTCTATGTTCTTCTGTTATTGGTCCCTGTCTCTGTTGGCTTATTGTCAGTTCTTCTGTTATCCGTCCCTGTCTCTGTTCTTCTTTTATCGGTCGACATCTCTGTTGGCTTGTTTTCAGTTCTTCTGTTATCGGTCCCTGTCACTGTTCTTCTGTTATTGGTCCCAGTCTCTGTTGGCTTGTTGTCAGTTCTTCTGTTCTCTGTTGGCTTGTTGTCAGTTCTTCTGTTATCGGTCCTCGTCTCGCTTGTTGTCAGTTCTTACATGTCTCCGTTCTTCCTTCTGTTATCGGTCGTCGTCTACGGTCTTGTACTTTCGGTACTTGTTTCCTGTTTCGTTCAGGTCTTCTCTTGTATCTATCGTTGCCGTCATTCTGTGTCGATGTCCTGGTTTTGTCAGTCTCGTTCAGTGGAGTAGCGGGGGATCGAACTCACGACTCCTTGATTTGTAGGCAGACAGTATTACCACTGCACCATAGCGCCCGCTCTGAATAATAACCATTTTTGAAAGTCCTTTATACATAAAATACTATTTCAATGGCTAACAAAGGGTGTATTACAATTATATCTTAACACCTCTACTATGAAGCCAACCCACGTGACTTTTATATATGGTCAAAAAAATATTACTCGATTTATTACAAGTAATACTTTTATAGATAACTTTGCTGTTACTTTAAGATATCCTGGAGATTTATTGGAGGGTACCCGGAATTCTAATGTATATCAAATGATGTGATAATCTTCTTGTAGAATTTTCTCATAACCGTGACTGAATTCTAAAATTTTTGAGAGCTGCCATGGTATAGCAAGCTCACGTTTCAGACATTTAATGACTCGATGAAAATATGGTGTTGTTATTGTTGTTGTTATTGTTTATAACTTTAACTTTAAATTTCAAATTAAATCGTCACATATTTTTAAACAAGATGGTAAACATTTGTTGTTTTCTGTATTTTTGTTAAGAATGAGATAAAGTATACACTTTTTAGTTTAAGACGACTTTTTAATATTATCGATTATCCATCGTATACCTTAATGCAGTTATAATTGAATCTAAAAAATGAATTATGCAGATATTATTTTCGGCAGAAAACAACAAATACAAACAAAACAACACACAAGAAACTTACATGCAGCATGCATGTGAAATGTCACAATGTGCTGAAAAACGGCTCTTTATTAATTTCAACATTTCAGCAAGTGACGCATTTTATAAAATGTTGTTGTAACCATTTAAAAAGTAGGATTTGTAAATTTGTAAGTTGGATACTTTATACCTAGCTTGCTGAACACTCAATTATATAAAGCTGAGGTACAGAAAATAGACAGAAAACAACTTTCATAGATTGAGGTAGAGCCATAATGTCGTAGATATTTGGGTTACAAAGGGAGTTTTTGATCCTGATAATGTTTTACGTATGATAAACCTATTACAAGCTTATATTCTTAAATTTTTGTACTGCCTTAATTTTAAAATACGTGCAATTTTGTAATTATTATGTCTTAGTTAGTTTCTGGAGAAAAGGCT